TTTATCACTTTCACGGGCTTATTACGAATCAACTTAACGGCCTGCTCCCAGTTGGCTTGTTAGCTCAATTGGTAGAGCGCTGCACTAGTATCGCAGAGGTCAGTGGTTCGAGTCCCGTACAGGCCTGATTTTTTTCAGGTCTGATTTTCGCTATTGCATAGATAGCGCTATCTACTGCGAGGATCGTGCATCATACGTATCTAATACCGCAGTTCAAAATATATGAACTTCATATATTCATTGTATCTCATTTATCACTTTCACGGGTTTATTACGAATCAACTTAACGGCCTGCTCCCAGTTGGCTTGTTAGCTCAATTGGTAGAGCGCTGCACTAGTATCGCAGAGGTCAGTGGTTCGAGTCCCGTACAGGCCTGATTTTTTTCAGGTCTGATTTTCGCTATTGCATAAATAGCGCTATCTACTGCGAGGATCGTGCATCATACGTATCTTATACCGCAGTTCAAAATATATGAACTTCATATATTCATTGTATCTCATTTATCACTTTCACGGGTTTATTACGAATCAACTTAACGGCCTGCTCCCAGTTGGCTTGTTAGCTCAATTGGTAGAGCGCTGCACTAGTATCGCAGAGGTCAGTGGTTCGAGTCCCGTACAGGCCTGATTTTTTTCAGGTCTGATTTTTGCTATTGCATAAATAGCGCTATCTACTGCGAGGATCGTGCATCATACGTATCTAATACCGCAGTTCAAAATATATGAACTTCATATATTCATTGTATCTCATTTATCACTTTCACGGGTTTATTACGAATCAACTTAACGGCCTGCTCCCAGTTGGCTTGTTAGCTCAATTGGTAGAGCGCTGCACTAGTATCGCAGAGGTCAGTGGTTCGAGTCCCGTACAGGCCTGATTTTTTTCAGGTCTGATTTTCGCTATTGCATAAATAGCGCTATCTACTGCGAGGATCGTGCATCATACGTATCTAATACCGCAGTTCAAAATATATGAACTTCATATATTCATTGTATCTCATTTATCACTTTCACGGGTTTATTACGAATCAACTTAACGGCCTGCTCCCAGTTGGCTTGTTAGCTCAATTGGTAGAGCACTGCACTAGTATCGCAGAGGTCAGTGGTTCGAGTCCCGTACAGGCCTGATTTTTTTCAGGTCTGATTTTCGCTATTGCATAAATAGCGCTATCTACTGCGAGGATCGTGCATCATACGTATCTAATACCGCAGTTCAAAATATATGAACTTCATATATTCATTGTATCTCATTTATCACTTTCACGGGTTTATTACGAATCAACTTAACAGCCTGCTCCCAGTTGGCTTGTTAGCTCAATTGGTAGAGCGCTGCACTAGTATCGCAGAGGTCAGTGGTTTGAGTCCCTTACAGGCCTGATTTTTTTCAGGTCTGATTTTCACTATTGCATAAATAGTGCTATCTACTGTGAGGATCGTGCATCATAATACCGCAGTTCAAAATATATCAACTTCATATATTCATTGTATCTCAAGGTAAAGTCTGTTCACATGCCAAGTGGCCCACCCAACTGGAAGCTAATATACCAGTTTCTTGAGCATGAAGCAACTAGGAGTATCACCACCCCTCCCCCCCCAGGGTGGGATACTAGTTAGTCCATTACAGGCTTACCCCCAGCAGTTCACCAGTTTTCTCTGGAAATGTGAGGATTATACCCATTTAAACTCCTGGGTGGAGAGAGGCTTTGTGAAAGTAAAGTGTTTTGCCTAAGAACACAACTCATTGACCCAGCCAGTTCTCAAACCTGCTCAGAGTCCAGTGCACTTGAACCATTACATCTCCACACCTCCCTCCAAGGATATTGTACAGTCAGGTACATGTACCTAATGAAAATATGAACCTGCTTATTATTAATAGTGTGGTGAAATACTTATTATTAATAAGTGATTTCTTGCCTGTTAACCTTTATTTCTCTAAACTTGAAGCATTTAAAGGAGCTCCAGAATTTCAATGGCTTAATGGCAGTGGCAGGTGGATTAACAAACACAGCATTGAATCGCTTACGGCAAACTCAAGAGTTGCTCTCACAAGACTGTAAAGAGGTACCCCTTAAAATAATCATTCAATCTGTGTTGAATAAACAATTTAACAGTCAAGTAAAATAACTAAATTCTTACCTGGTCATGAATTTTTGAAGACTGTATTAGTGTTTTCTTAGAAAGTATCTTTGTCTTTCTTCTCTATAGTACCTTAAGATGTTGATGGAGTTATTGTCTTCTGATGGAAACTATGCATCCTATAGGAAAACTTTAAACATGTCTACTGGATTCCACATCCCCATTTTGTAAGTGCTAGTTCACTAATTTGTATGCTGTGTGTGTGTGTGTGTTGATGGTGGTCACTGTTAACATTTTCAGTATGTAGCTAAAACTTAGAACATAGAATTGATTGACTGAGATTACTGAACTTAGTGTACATATATGAAATTGAAAATAGGGTCATGTACCATTAAAATGATTGCAAAATTGAGCCATGAGACTAACAAGATATATTTTATTGAAAACTATTATAATATGTATTTTAGTATTAATAGTAAGGTGGCTCACACAAAGACTTTTTTCTTTTATTTTTTTATCCTTATATCCTCATATCCACATCATTGATGCAACATCATCCAGAGGTGAGTTTGAGCAGTGGTTCAGTTCTTTTTCATTTCTTGCTGATAAAGTACCTGTTGATAATAAATGTGCATACCTTATGTACTTGTATGTTAGATAAATTAACACTTTTCTAACATGGTTTTTATTATTGCATTCAGTTTGTACTTTTTGAAGTGGAAGAAAAAAGTTTTTGCCTGAAATGTTGTTAGTATTAAGTAATGATACCAAAGACCCCAAGTCATAGTTTAATGCTCCATGATAAAAAAATATAGAAACTGTTTTGTAATGACAGAACCAATGTTTTGCACTTTCTGCAGGCATTCAGTTGAAGGATCTCATTGCACTGCAAGTTGTTTTACCTGACAGTGTCAATGGACACCTTCTTAATTTGCAAAAGATGGTTCGTTTATCGCACATCATGTCGCATTTGCTGCTGGTTCAAAACACTGTGCCACCAGTACAACCAAATTCAGAACTGATTAAAATGTTGCGGGTATGTTGGCCATTCATGATAAAAATACTGATAGTGTATAATTTGCTCTGTGCCTAGTGGCTGGACACGAGTGAAAGGAACTGTTCTCAATCACTTGTCAGCAGGGTTGGAAATTGAAATAAAGATGTAAAAGATGAGTTATGGTACCAGCCAAGAGGCCAATCTTGCTTTAGCCTATTCCAGTTTCAGTTGCCTTAGCAGAAAGAGGCTAGGAGTATTGACTGGATGCTATCCATCACAGGGCTATGCTTTAGTACCGTTTAAATTCTTGAGTGAAGTGAGGCTTATGACTTAACAACCCCACCTGGACCTTTCTATAAAGAATCCAGGGCACTTACAGGTACCATTTGCCCACAATGTCTCGTCCTCATAAGTTAAAGAGAGCCAAATATGGACTGTTCAGGGGAACATTTAAGCCAGCTTTCTGGACATTAAGGTCTTACGATAAATTGTCTTAAATCCAAGAACAAATGTCCAACAAGTTGTCGTACCTATATATTGTGCTCTTCTGGAAAAACTATATTACTTTGCACTTTGTTTCTAGGTGTCATTGCAACCCAGAGTCACTGAGGAAGAGTTATATGAATTATCTCTTGCTAGGGAACCAAAGAACCATACTCATTCTGTAAGTATAGTTATGACAACATTTATGTTGGGGTGGTGTGGCGTGTTTCTCCCGTTTCTCTCTTTTCCAGCATCTGTTACCTATCTTCTTCAAGAACAAATTGATACACACGTTTCACTCACCTTAGATGATCAAACTCGTCATTGCAACTGTTAACGAGAGAATTCTAGGTAGTAAGTATACTAGAATGAAAAGCAGGAGGACAAACTGTAATAATCAAAACCTTCAGAGAACATTTCATTCAAAGAGGTTTGTCTATCTTAAAGAGCTGTGGCAGTCTTGGCAGTGTAGAGTCAAATGGTGAACAAGGTGTGATGTTTGCTGATTGGGCAGCGGGATTGTTGAACACAACACCTGACCCTCAGACAAATGAGAGGCATGTCTCATCCATGGTGGAGGTAAGTACAACTGTACTTTCCGAAAGTCAAATCATTTCGTGTAAATCATATAAGACAATCTGAATTCACCGTTTGTAGAGGCTAAGAACTTAAAAACATGGTAAATCTACCGACTTAAATTTTGCTCGAAACTGAAGGTTTCTATTATTCTTAAAAATTAAATTTTCAAAAACATGTACATATGCTGTATTTTTGCCACACGTTGCGTTATTACATATCATAGGTTTACATGTAAAGTGCACTTTATAAAACAAACGTAAGCCTGGTCTACTGAAACTCCCAAAACAAAAGAAACCCAAATGAGCTTCCTTCATAGAATTTTCATTTTTCTCTCTAGCAACGGCAGCGTTAATGCTCGCCTGTATATTATTCCCTCCTAATATAAGAAGTACCTGCCAGATGCCTTTAAGGATCCGAATATATTCTTCTATGAGGATATCACTTTTAAATGTCCACTTTGATCATAGCCTTGGACTATCTTCAAATGTCTAATGAGTTTGGGGTGGTCTGACGTAGGGTCAAAGAATAGTCGGAGGATATCATCATCATTGTTGACTCTTAATTATTTATAGGCAGTCTTCAAAATTTACGACACGAACAAAGGTGGTTCAATATCAGTAGCCCTGGACCATCTCAAATGTCCATGAGTTTGGAGTGGTCTGACGATTTGTTAGAGAGAATTGAATAGTCGGTGGATATCATCATCATTCTTACTTGTTATTTATAGGCTGTCTTCAAAATTTATGACACGAACAAAGATGGTTCAATATCAGTAGAAGAGTTTGATGCCATAGCTACCAATTTTCCTTTTATTGATTCATTCGGAGTTCTGGACATTAACAGGTAAGAATTTAACACAACCAACATGTAATATAAATACAAGTGTGTGCACACACGAACAGGCAGACTAAGACCATGAACGATTACCATTTTTTTCCTTAATTATGAAGGTTTATATCTTACAGTAAAACTATTTTACTAATTTGGCTGCACCTTTCACTTGCGCACGAAAAATAGTTACCTGAATAAAGCAACCTTAACCACAACGAGGAATGATGGTACACAAATAACAGTGTTTCTACTAGAACGATAGATCGACTAAACGAACCAATGGTAACTCTGAACTCAGTTTGTGAGTGTGGCTCGTGGTGCTAAGGATTTTATTTTTGTAGTGTACGTGAAAACCAGCCTTACACTAACATGCAAAGTTCAACTTTGTGAGCTTCACTATAGACAAATAAAGCTCAATCTCGAATGAGGTCCTTTTCCTACCTCCCGTTTTCATGGAGACAAAAAGGAAAGTACAATATCACTATTCTGTAGCCGTGTCACGTTAGAATTTGGAGAGCGGCTATCGTTTTCTTCTGAATTTTAAATAAGCGCCCGTGGTGCAAATCAGAGGGTTAAACAAGAATATAATGCCGACCACCTGCCCCGCTCGCCCCAAATTAAAAGGTAGTACGTGACCTTCTAAATTCGAATTAGTCTGTTGTCGGGTGCTTTAAGACTCATCATACCTAATAGTTATTTTCAAATGGATCATGTTTAAAAATTACTCTCCAAACTTCTATTTTTTAGTGATGGTGTTATTAGTCGAGACGAGATGAAGAACTACTTCATGAAAGCGAACTGTCACGAACTAAGCAAAGGCTTTTCACACAACTTTCAAGAAACGACGTACTTCACTCCAACCTTTTGTGACCATTGTGCTGGCATGGTAAGGAATTTTGTGCATCATTATAACGGAGCTCAAAATTTTTGCTTCATTTTTTCCATATAAACTGTTACTAAGTTAGAAGTCCGTTCAAGTAAATTTGTCATTGATTCCCCCCCTCATCCAACCATCCAACATTGCAAGTGTATACCCTTGCAAGCAAGCTCACGAGAAAAAGGCCCAAACCTCCAAACCCAACCCCAGTCCTGATTACGTGGAGCGTCTGGGAGTATTGTTACAAGGTTTGAGCCTCGGACAATTCGTTGCATAGTCCATTGTGTTTAATGTTTAATGGAGGCGGCGTGGCCGAGTGGTTAGGGCGCTGTACTTGTAATCCGGTGTCCCGGGTTCAAGTCCTCCACCCTGCCACTCACTGGATTTGTTCTCGGTTGCCCCTAGTTCAACTTCTTGGCTGCACTCTGTAAATAGCCCACTGGTCGCCTCCTGCCAGCGGGGATTTTTAAGCAATTAGTTAAAACTTCTTCTTAATACACCCCACAATGTAAACTACTAGGTTACCAGTAATTGTGTTAGCTATTAAAGTTCATTTTCTTTCTTTTCTTTGTGTTAAAATTAAACACTGGTTCACACTGTGTCTTCTTCAATATTTTCCAGCTGTGGGGAGTCATAAAGCAAGGATATAGATGCAAAGGTATGAGGCGATGCAGCATGTTGCCTAGCAAGATGTCTAGAAAGTGAAACAAAATAAACTTTACGAAAAAAAATGATTTACAGATTCTGCCAGATGCAACCCCAACGCAAAGCAATTGAAAATCTTTTGGTTTCTTTTCAGTTTGTCACATCAACTGCCACAAAAATTGTAAAGGAGAGATAGTGAGAGGTTGTCGCCAAAAATCCTCGCCACAATTGAATGGTAGGTCACAACTAAACTTTATTTTTAAGTAAACATCTTTAGGATGTGAAACGTTACCAAATGATGACTAGTACACTGACCAATGGTTTTTGCTTTGTTTGACAACGAAATTATGAGTGCGCTGTTACGGGGTGTGTTTCATTGGATTGAGATCCGATTAATCTCAATTTGTTAGTTGATTTGTGAGTTATTTGATCCCAAACGGACCTTTATGAGAGTGATTATCGTGGATTAAAACTTGAACTGCTTCAAGTGAATGGCCGATTGTGCTTATAGTTTATGGTTGTAATGAAAAATAATTGAATTGCCTAGACGCCAAAGATAATTAATTTAATTTGAAAGGCTTCTGTTAATTTTGTACTAAGTATTCAGGTGGTCTTTTAATCTGCTTTTTATTCTTTTTTTTTTTTACATTGCTTTGTTGCCAACTTTTTCAGGAATCGATGGTAAATCTCTACAGAAGCCTGAACCCTTGCGAATAACTAAATGGAAAAACAAAATGAAGCTTCAGAAACATTTATCTGAAGATTCACTGAAGTCTGTTAACGGCGAGTTTGTTAATGTCCCAGTCGATCAGTACAAAAAGCTTCTTCATGTCCAACAGGTTAGTAGATTGTTAAGCAGTGGAGGAATTTTTTTTTTCTGTGTTTGTGATCTCGTCGAAACACTTGATAGTTTGGGAGAATTCAGAATGGTTACTTAGAAGTTAGTGGGCTTACTCTACAGAGTTGGTTCTCTCTTCTCTCTTGTGTTTTTTTTTTTCTCGAAATATGTTCAGGGATCTTTTGTTGTTCCGAAACAGGTTTATTTTATTGAGCATCCACAGATATGCTGATCTACCCAAGACCCCGTCATCACTGACTTATTCTCATAGCGTGTTATTTGTGGCGAAAAGTTTGTCGAATTAACGTTTTTCTTTTGATATTTCAGGAAAATGAAGCACTCGTAGCGGAGAATGACCGACTTCAAAAGGACTTAGAGGCCACTACTCACAAGTTAAACTTGTTACAAAATCATCTGAACTCTCTGAGGCAAAATACTGTTACATTTATTTTAGATCAAATGGACGCTCTACAGATGCAGAAGGACACAGAGGTGTAGCGCAGGAATTATACCTAAATATCAACAGCAATTTACCGACACATCGATCCGTTGTTTGGTACAATTCCTTTACTTAAGTTGTGCAGTACAGTACTTACATTGTACAGTACTTACATTTTTTCAAAACGACGGTTTTCTGTGGATAGGAAAAATCCGTCTCAATCAAAGGATATCAACGATTTCTATAAAGTAAGCAAAGTTCTCTCAGGGGCTAAGGCTTTGTCGCACCATCCAAGTTAATTATTAGCACACTCGTAAGTCCAAACTTAATTCAAAGGTGACATATGGGCCCTCTTAAACATATTTCATATTATCCTCTTAAACATACTTTAAACATTACCTGTGGGCGTTTAGCATCAATAGGACTTATCGTACACGTGACCTTTAAACTGAAAATGGTTATCATCTCCATCTTACAAACTACCTGCGCAAAGCAACAACGAATTTATTCAGTGGTTACTGAAATGAAACAGTACGGACGATGCTCGAGAGGTTTTGATTGTGTGCATATTGTATCGTACTATCACTAATATTTCTCGTCCAGATCATTTCCCACTTTCATTTAGCTCTTCCTCATAGAACTACTTAAAGGAAGATATAAAGTAATTTACAGCCGAAAATAGACTCTTGTTTCCGTTGTTTATTATAATTGTTATTTTTTAAAAAGTAATTTTTTCGGAATACAAATAAATCTTAAATTACAATGACATTTATAAACCATTAAATCTTCAGAGAGTCTAGGCTTTTTTAGTTTCCAATTATATTTAAAAGGTGTATAAGATCGATTAGATTATTTCTAGACATGGAAACATTAAGTTATATTAGTTTGTAATTTAAACTAAATTATTTGTTGATTTAATAAAATCGATATTAGCATTGAGTTATTTAATTACAAAACAACCTGTCAAAGCTACGATGAAATTATCCTGTTTTAGGTGGAAACTAATGAGGACCCTTTTAATGTAATTTTAGTAGCGTTTATACAGTTAATAGAAGGAGCCAGCTTCAGCTGGTCAACTGCTCTGTGGCGCTGGACAAGGTGTCCAATGGGAAAGGAGCGTTCACTCTTAAAACATTGTAGACAGGATCATTTCAGTCTTCACTCGGTTCTTTTCAGGCGAGGTGACCTTTTTGCAAATTTTGGCGCCGATTTAGTTCTAACCATGCCCAGGTTGACTACGGCAAGGAGTGACGTGATCCATGGCCAATCAGAGCGCACGCCTCCGTGATTACCCAAAACCCATGTCTACTTTAGCTTTAGACGTTTAGACGCTTGTTAACACATGAGAGTTCTCCGATCGCTATTTTCCCGCTTAATCAAATCTCCATGCACTCCATCTTTTTCTGCCCAGAGAGCAGTAAAAATGGAAAATTTAAACTTTTTACCACATACTACTTAAATTTCTATCGCGTGTGAGTTGAAATGTCACCCAAAGAAATGGGAGTGGGCAAGATAATTGTTTTAGTATCGTTGAAAACCCTCCAAGGAAGGCGCGCGATTTTATTGAGTAATAATACATTCAAAGGTCTCGCCACATGCCACTATCTATCGCAGTAGAGGTCGTAAGTAGGGTGGCCGATCAGAATGGAGTTTTTTTTTTTTTAGAACAATAGAATATTTTCACTTGCTTACAGTAAGGGAATGTAGGGGAACTGTATGCAGGCTTTGTTGGTTCTTTCAGTATAGGTATATTCAGTCCAAGTGTTTATTATTACGCAACTTCACAAAGTAGAGTGCAAATATGTATGCATTATCGACCAAGCGTGAGGTCAAGATAGCTCGATATTGGCAGAGTTCTATTTTGGCATTTTTACGGGCCTCGCCTTCGTCTCCACTTTAGTCTTCCTCTCGAGGCTGAAATCCAGCTATCCTCACCGAAAAAGCTTGGTCAATAGAAAATTTATTACATGGCAAAAAGATTTCGCTCTATTAAGAATTAAAGTGCACCTAAACCCAAAATTTTTTTTTCGCTCAACGAAATAAGCGTATTTTTTGGAGTATTTCTGTGCAAATATTTTTTTATTTTCTCAAGTCTTCAATTTTCTGTGCCCAGTCAAAATACGGAAAAATCGGCGCCATCTTGCCCCACAACCGAGTTTAAAGAGGAGTGGCTCTGGCGGGTAATGTGACGTCAAATCGAGAACACGAAAGTCTGCATTTCACACATTTTCACTTGTTTGGGAAGGTTGTAGTCGATATTGTCTGAAAATATGCCGACTAAGTGTGTTGTAGAAGGATGTAGCAACGTGCGAAATTTGCAAGAGGGTATCGCGCTTCATACATTCCTCATACAACACACCTAGTCGGCATAGTT